GGTCACTATAGTATATCTATATAGTGGGTTCGATTATTGCCTGAGAAATTATTTTTTATTAGCCACAGATGGCTGATTGAATGCCTATTCCATAAAACGATATATAGAAATAACAAAAATGTACAAAAATATTTATCGCATTATTTTATTTTATTTTGAAACCTGTTATTAACCGACTGTAAAAGGCGAGGTTTTTATATTAGTTGTGTGTAAGTGTGTGTGTGTGTGTGTGTGTGTGTGTTTTTTAATAATTTATAGGCAACTGCGAACCTTCTCAACGCTATTTTTTTTTGTAATACTTTTTTCATTTGACGGATTACTTACTATTAGAAATCCGAAAGCTTGTATATGTGTGTATGTGTGTGTGTAGGTTTGTTTCTTCTTCACGTTAAAATGGCTAGACGAATTTGGATGAAATTTTGTACATATAGATAGACTAAAGTCTGGAAAACCACATAGGCTGCTGTTAAATACCTAGAGACCACCCGTTCGAAGCGAGTGTAAGCCGCTAGTCTAACATAAAACCCGCTACAACTCGCCCCCACACTTTCATTCAACCGCAATGGGCCATATCGTTAACAGTAAAAAGGGTACATAAATAAACACATCTTAACGTTTGATAGTGCTTTTTTTATATAAATATACGCCCTCATTTATACCTGTCTAGTATGTTTATTGTATAATAAATCTAATTCCTAATTCTAATTGTAACAAGGTTGAAATTACATTGTGATGTTGTTATAAGTACGCCCTATTTTTTGGTTTCTTGGTGTAATTGAAAAGATGTATGTAAAAGAATAAAATTTTATGAGTAAATTGAAAGCTTTGACTTAGATATACTAGGTCCTGGGTTCGATTCCCAAGTCAGGCTAAATAAGTAATGTTGGTTTTCTGCCAAGAAATTCTTGAAAGCTCTTATGACGACATTATATTTATTGCGCTACATAAATACATATGTATAGAGTATACTCTTGTTTAGTACGAGTGAAGCCCTTTGCCATATTATAATGCAGTTTGCAGAGAACAAAAGAGTTTAGTAACTGTCTAAGGAAAAGAAGTAGTGTATCTAATAATAACAAATCACTAACAAATATAAATGTTATGGAACTACCCACTTGTGGTTTAAAGACGTTGACGTCTTTACTGCCGCCGTAAAATATATCGGTTAATTTCATTTTAAATAGATCATTTTGAACCTTAATAGTATTACAGTAAGAAGCATCAAAAGCTCATACGAGTTTGAAGTCGTAAAAATGAAAATTGTTTGTAAAACAAATACGTATTTAAGTAGTGAATGAAAGAGACGGATATATGGTTCTAGTGTTGTTGTTTCAGCTCATAAGTTTTCTTTTTATTATAGTTTGTTATAGTTATTTATATGAAATTAGCAAGTCTCAGTTCTTAGAACATGAATTGATTTAGTTACAGTTTTGTATGTATAGAGTTCGAGCGATATCTTAAACATCATTAAATTAAAGCCTGTCCTAAAAAAATATGTAGAATGTACTTGAGTAGTGTATATAGAAAATGTTCATAAAATAATCGTCTAATAATTCAGAGGTAATGCCGGTTGATGCGTGACATTAAAAAAAATCTCTTAAAGGGTTCACAATAGGTTCTCTATACGTTCTCTATACATGTTGGTCTTTTGTCCTCACGCAAGCCATCCGAAGGACCGGGCTCCTTTGTGATGAAACTTTAGTTATTTTATAAAATAATAGTATTATAAAAAACATTTAATAAGAATACGAATAAGGAAATTTATGTTATTAGGTATATTATAATTAATTTTATATATAGTTTTACTTTTGCACTTCTTTATAGACAAACTAGTGACTTAACCTCGCTTGGCTCGGGTTTTACTCTTTACGTTTTAACGTTTAGTATAGATTTCTCAGAGGTGAGATATATTCCCACAGTAAAAAGTATCCTACATATTGACCCGGATAAGCAGCTATCATCATACCAAATTTCCATAAAATCTGTCCAGTGGACTGATAGACAGACAGACAGACACAAATATTCTAAAAACTATAGACTCGACTTCTTTATCGATAACAATGATTATTTCAATAAGAATTTCAGTGTCAGTTAGAATTTTATTATATACATATATATAGATGAACCAATCATAACGTTTCCTCAATGAATTTCTGTCAAATAATATTTTAGGTGAAGTTATTAGTAGATATAATTAGCTACAATATGTCTAATTTAGTAATGGCGTAGGCATTTTGCTTTGTGACAGACAACGGAGGTGTAGCCACAATAAATTTGTTACGAACCTGTCACAGACAAGCGAAATGCGAGGGTGAATTGCGATTACGGCAGGTTAACTGAGGTGATATAATGAATGAAATACCGATTGATTCTAATGAATGAATGAAATTTTAAACTTTTAACCGACCTCCAAAAGGAGGTGTGTAATTTGGGTGTCATCACCTTAAAAGTAATTGTTCCCTACTAGATACTCCAACTACGTATTCACCCTTTTTAACGTCCCACAGCTGGACACAGGCGTCTGTTCAATGTGAGGGGGATCAGGTCATAGTCCACCACGCTGGCCAAGTGCGGGTTGGCGGACTGCACAATGCACATGTCTTTCGAAAACTTGCTAGATTTTTGAGAAATGCAAATTTCCCTACGATGTTTTAGTTCACCGTTAGGCAAGTGGTGATTATGTTGAAAAAATACCCCAACTATTGTTTATGACATTGATGTTGGACCGGGTGTAACATAATTTATTTAAAAATATATAAAAGTTGGTTTAAAATTGACAATTATAAACAATAAAATCACATTAATCGAGTACCACTTCTACTTTTGAAGTCGGTGAAACAAATTTTTCTGGACAATTATCTTCAAATATATCACGTTTTTTTCGGTTTTCAAACAACATCCATCACCGAGAAAAAAAACTAAACCGAATTATAAGCTCTATCAAAAGTCAAGACAAACTTTAAATATAAATTGCCTGCCATTAGTCATATTGTTGAATAGTGAGGAGAAAATGCGAGACTGATTTGAGGATTTGATAAAAAATATACACAGTTTGATTTATGTCGTAAGATCGTCGATGATATATAGAAGACACGTGTTGAGATGTTTCGTGTTATACAATTTTATACTTATTTATCACGATTGAATGAGTGAATGAAATGATTTTCTTGTGTTATATGTCACTAGTAGTTGCGAGTTTTGGCATATTATTTGTCTATCAATTTTTTTTTATATTGACAATTTTTCTTTATTAGAGTATTCATTTTTTATTTAACCGGAAATCAAATCTCGGAATCACTGTTTACTAAGTCGACTATTTACAATGTAATTTTATGAACAAAATATTCGAACTTCATACAAATGTAGAAAGATAGAGCTTTATTTTATCTTTATTTTTGAAAAAGAATTTTTTTTTACGTGTTCCAAATTCATAAAATTAATTTGTATGAAACAAAACATACGTACAATAATAATGTGTGTATTTATCTATATCTATATTAATATTATAAAGAGGAAAGATTTTTGGTTTGTTCGTTTGTTTGTACCGAATAAGCTCCGAAACTATTAGATCGATTTAGATGAAATTTGGTAAGAAGGTAGTTTGCAACCCTGGAAAGGATATAGGATAGTTTTTATCTCGGAAATCATCCCTCAAGGAGGTGAGAATGGGTATGAAAATTTGTATGGGAAATCCACCCAAATCAATGGTTTATACAAATTGAATGTAGAGTATGGTATGATATGAGTAACTTTAAAGCTTTTAGCGTGATAATAAGTCAAGGCCAGGCCACGTGGAGAGATCAAAGGGATGCAAGTATTTACGATAGCAGTAAAACACAATATTGAAATACATATGTACATTAAATATGTATGTATGTATCTCCCGTGGCACATGATCGACATATCGCGTATCGATGTTTAAGTGCTTAGTTTCATTTAAATAGTTAATGTGAAAAGCACATTTCGAAATATACTAGCACTAACTTTTGTGTGTTTTACAGTAACTTAGTAATAATTTATAATTTTAACTTAGCTAAGTATATATTTAGCTTTTATAAATATTTAACATGTTAGGAGTCTGTCCAAACGTCTAACATTTTAAATATTCGTTTGGATATCTAGGATAACTAACGGCCATGCGTACACCTTAAAGCCTAGTTCGCGTTAAGCTAGTATTTTAGTCTAGTAGCGAGTAATTTAGTAACTAAACGTGTCTGAACACTAAAAATTTAGTCGATTAGTTTAGTAAGTAATTTAGTCGAGTCAATCCATTTTATTCTATTTTTTTGGGCGTGTAGCAGCCCCCACGACGCGTCCGAGCTCACTGGTTCACCGGCTAAACAAGTACGAACCTGTCGAATTAGTCGAGTTCATTAGTTGCCGCCATAATGTCGTTTCGCTGGAGCGAAGAAATTACTTTTAAATTTGTTTCGAAATATGTTGAACACGAATGCTTGTAGAATATTAGGTCCTTGCATTATAAAAACAAGCATATGAAACATTCCGCATACTTAGATTTGGAAAAAATAATGAATATACCCGGATTTGGTGAAAAAGAAATTAAAATGAAAATTAAAAACATCAGGTTACTTTTCATTACTTTATTTTCTTAATCAGTTTATTTAATTTATTGCGTTGTAGGCTGTTCATCTTGCAAAACACCATTCACTTGTAAACTGTACTCGACCAAAGTGCGAACGATTTTTGGTGAGTAGCGAGTAATTTAGCTACTAAATTACTCGCTACTAGACTAAAATACTAGCTTAATGCGAACTAGGCTTAAGTCTCAAGTTTGATTTTGTTCATATTAACATAATAATTATGTGTTGTTATAGAAATATACACGTTTCAATACAATTGTCAATAAATATTACATATTGAATATTTTATTCACAATTAATCAGTACATGAAAAATTATAAACAAGTATAATTATAATTATAACTCATTACTCTACACCCAAATCGAAGAAAGTATATATAAAGTACTTAATTAAAGAACATGCGGGACGGCCTTATTACAGGAAAAACTATATTTTCCAGGCAATCTTTACGTAAGGAAATAACAGTAAGAGATAAGGGTGTGAATTCTAAACAATGTTAATATTAAATAATATTATGCTAATATATTTATGTACGTCGCAGGCATATTGTATAATTCATCATTATACAAACGGTGCCATCTGATTATGAACGGTTCCTGGTTTGTGAAATGCCCAAGGCAAATAGATCACGCTTCTGAACTTAATTCATTTTTCGGCAATATGTAACCATTATTTATAAAATTATTAGCTATTAGTAGGTCAAAATATCTTAACTATGTAAAACGACAGGAATTACTCTCAATATTGCATTATGTTAAATACAGGCTTGGTGACAAATCTTATATTAGGTGAGAGCCATCTTAGTCATCTCGTTAGATTTTCTTTTTTCTTGAACCCAGAAATCCTTACATTGCTATAGTATACAATCCAACGTTTTACAAATTGCCTTAGTCATTTTACAAAATAGCGGGCAGCTTGTACATAATATAATGAGAAAAAGTGTTTTTGTTTCCTGAACGTTGGTTGTAACGGGTTCGATTTCTATTGTGATTAAATATTTGTATTATGTATGTGTTTTTACGTCCATTCCAATGGTGTGTTTCTTTTTTATTTATTTATACCCACATATGTATCTCTATCTATGTATATGCATCTATATGTAAATCAAAAGCTACTGAATATGTTTTATAATATCAATACGTTATAGAGTATTCTATATGACTCGAGTGATTACATTTATTCTAATACTAGCGAATCCAGGTTTTAACTAGATATAAATATTATTGCGAGTGTACCTACCTTATTCAATACTTTTTGTGTGAAAGGCGCACACACAAACAGACAAACAATTTAATAACTATTGTTTTGGGGTCTATGTATATCCTGTACACAATACGTTAGTCATTGTTTTAAAAAAAATATTTCATATACAGATTTCGCAATGTTTCAAATTTATTGTATGTATATTGTATAAATTATATTATTTGACTTGTAAATAAAATTAATAATATCTTATATTATTTATGTATATATGTCAAAATTTCCAAAAAAATATCCTTAACTCCTGGTCACAAGTTCGAGAGCATCGAGTCTGCGACCCGCGCCAAGGAAGCACTCCACGGTTGCGACATTTACTCCGGATGCTGCACTTTGAAAATTGAATTTGCAAAGGTTAGTGGACTTTATAATTTTATAATAATAATTATTATGATATAAATATATAAGTTAAGTATTTTTAGTATATTTAGATTTTATTTTTCCATAATTTATTGTGGCTTAATTTTGATTCGACAGTCAATATTTATTTATTTTAGTAAATTAATATAAAGTTTCTAAATTAAATATGTTCAATATACTTTGAGGTAGCCCAGCGGTAACGCGCTCGCTTGGAAAACCGAGTGAAGCAGGTTCAAATCCCGGGTCTCGCACCTCTAATATTTTCATGTGCGAATCATTTCCAACATGATTACAACTTGCCTTACGGTGAAGAAAAGCATCGTGAGGAAGTGTTACTAGTTAAAAAAAAGGACAAAACTCCTTCAAACTTTTATTCTTTCTCTCGCTATTTCTTCTCAGTAATATTTTTGCCCATTTTCTTTTCAAATGAATGGATGAGTTTTTAACTTACACTAAAAGGTTGTATAATTGATGAAAAATAATTACTTTTGATTCTGCATATACTCTTTATACACGATAGGGATAAATAAATAAATATGTTGGGACATTAACACACAGCACCATCCAGTTCCATGGTAAGCTGCGAGGCTTTTGTTATGGATACCAGATAGTTGATACATTACACATATAATATACATATTATAAATATGAACACCCATGACTGGAGTACAAATATACGTGCTCATCACACAAATGAATGGCCCCAACGGGTCTCGAACTCGCGACCACTGGCACAGCAAGTAGAGTCACTACAAACTACGTCTATAATGTTAAATTGTAAGAGATTAAATAAAAATGTACACGCAAGCGAAACTGTAAGCAGAAATAAGTGAATAAATAAGATTTCCTTATTGAGTTTCGGGAACATTTAATATTTTTTAACTCGCAAGCAAAAATTTAACATAGAGCAAGCTCAAAATCTAAATGCCTAACCGCTTATGAATTTAAAGCGAGTCTTCTTTGTCGCAGAGAGCGTTTCAAACGAGACGGAAGTACTTAAGCTCCTTTATAACTTTTAATTCGACGCGATATTTGCTACGGGAATAACAATTACCCTGAGTGAAGAGATTTTTTTTTAAGAAATACGGCGCACCATCCAGTCTTTTGAAATTGACGTTGTTATTTTTATAAACTATGCAGTTGTTTTTCAAAGCCTTTTAAGCCTTAGTTAGCATTCGATGAGGCCTATGAGTTCGATTCTTGTTTAAGGCAAAAAAAATATTGATATAAAAAGCTGGGCTACTTTATATTAAGACTAGCGACTCACCCTCATTTCTCTCGGGTTAGTCTCAAGGTTGATTCCCCATACAAACATTTTCCGATTTCATCCCCAGTTTCACCCCTTTAAGGGATGATTTCCGGGATAAAAAGTATCCTATGTCCTTTCAAGGGTCTCAAACTATCTTATTACCAAATTTCATCTAAATCGGTTAAGTAAATATCAGAGATTACCCCCTACAACGTCACAAGCTCACAAACTAACAATTTACAAATTTTACCTCTTTATATTATTAGTATAGATTGGTATCCAATATATGTAAATTAATGCGACGTGGGCGAAAAAAGAAAAATATTAATAGTGCCATTTTACTGTAACTGTGTGTGTTGTGTTGGCTTACTAAGCTTTTCAGAATTTAAATTATTAAGCTTTTAAATGTAAGTTCAATTATTCTTTTATTTTAGATAGATAGACATCTGCAATCATCATTTTTGTCGCCAATATTACTAATATTAGATTTAAAACTCTTTAACTCAATTTTCCTCCTTTTTTGGTAACTACATATTTTCGCTAAGACTCAAATGTAATTGTCTATACATAAATAAGACCAGAATTTGACCCAACGATCTCTGGTCTAACTCATCATGTCTGAATATAACTTTATATTTTGTTTACGGTTTACCGTTAAACAGTAAGTGGTCCCAGTAGCTTCACCTGTCATGTTCACACTTTTCGGTATACGCACGTGTCACACTGAATCCCAAAGGATTTGTTTTAGTTGCTATATGACTACTTAATACGTTCCAACCTAAAGGCGGACGGAGAGGTCATAGAATTTTGTATGATCATGGATCAGATATACGTAGTTTTAAGAAGTAGTTCGTTGTTCCTTATACACGACTAGCGATTCGCTCGGGTTCGTCCCTAGCTTGCTTCCCAATACAAAGTTTCACCCCTATTTTCACCCCCTTCAGGGATGATTTTCGGGATAAACAGTATCCTATGTCCTTCCCAGGGCTTCATACTATCTTCTTACAAAATTTCAACTAAATCGGTCCATTAGATCCAAAGATTACCCTACAACGTCACAAACTCACTAACTTTACCTCTTTATAATATTAGTATAGATTGGATCTGGCAATATAGTGCTCTTGGTATTAAGCTATAATAGAGAGTGCAAAATATATGAAGTAGGGGCGGGATTTGTGTTATTAACATTTATGAAGTATACGTAGTATTTAATGAAAATAAATTGTTGTTATTTCAGTGCGTAATATAATAGCAATCTAAAGCGATGATGACATGGGTATTGCTTGAGGGGTCTTTCGAAACGCGCGAAAATGGCGGTTTTGCAAATTTATTCTGTGTTTTATGTTATTCTCAACCGTATATGTAATTTATATTTCTATGATGCGATGCCTACATCGCAAGACATTCTAAATTAAGAAAAAAATACGTGTGTGTACTTTATGTACGCACGTAAGAATTTATACTTCTTTGCGTAACAGAACAAAAATAGCTAAAGAATTCATGCCGTATGTCACAACTCTCTGTTTGTAAAAGGAATGCAGTTTACTTCATCATGTTGCTTTTTGGCTGTCGGTGTGCGCGCGCATCGTAAAAATTTTACTCTCATAATTTTTTCCAAACGTGCCAAAAGAAGTATAAGTTCAATAATAAAAAATATATAGGTACAGTTATCCTGGTCTTATCAAGACTTGTCCTAGATCTATTGGTCGATGGTCTTATTCCAATTTGTTGTAATAGCCTTATGTATTATTAATTATTTGGTAAGCCTTGACGCTTAAAGGATGACCGCTGACAGACCTCTGTCGGTAGCACTGAATTATTAAAAGCTACTAATTTACTTGATGTGTTTGGTTTAATGTTAGACCTTATTATGAGTTGAGTTACTACTAATATTATTAAACTGGAGAGATTGTGCTTTTTTTCGTTTGAACGCTTATTTCTGAAACTAACAGACAGATATGTTTTTTTTTTTTGGCTAAAGTTCTCGCCCGCCATTCCATTCGCATGGAAAACAGGGATAATAGCTAGCATGTGCCAGACCTCCTTATACAATTTAAGTTCTAGTTAAATTTCATTAATATTCCGTCTGTTCAGTGATTTAAACGTGAAATTGTAACAAACAGACAGACTTACTTTCAGATTTAAAATATTAGTATGAATGTCTAGGAAGGCAGTGGTAGCCCAGTGGTAACGCGCTTGCTTGGGAAACCGAGTGAAGCGGGTTCAAATCCCGGGTCTCGCACCTCTAATATTTCCATGTGCGCATTATTTCTGACATCATTACCACTTGCCTTACGGTGAAGGAAAAACATCGTGAGGATGTCTGAGAGAACCTAGCAAGTTTTCGAAAGACATGTGAAGTCCACCAAACCGCTCTTGGCCAGCGTGGTGGACTATGGCCTGATCCCCCTCGTACTGAAGGGAGGCCCGTGCCCAGCAGTGGGACGTTAAAAAGGGCTGAAAACATCTAAGAACCTCGGGAGCGCAACAAGTATATGTAATAAGTATATATCAAAATAGGTCGTAAATAATACGTGAGCAGAGACGCGGGCAAAATCTAATACCTAAGTGAGAGCTTTAATTTGAATAATGTTGGTATATTTTCAGTCAGGTGGCTTTAATTAAACTTTCCTACATATTTCTAACTAGTAATATGTTTTTAGTGACTTTTTGCTATGATACTTTATATCTCACGGGAATTACAGTGGATGATGGGGAACGATAAAGCAGTGCTTTTCTAGAGTAAGCGGTAAAGAGTAAGAGCAAGTAAAAGTTGGTAGTGGTAGGCCAGTGGTGACGCGTTTGCTTGGGACAACGAGTGAAGCGGGTTCAAATCCCGGGTATTGCAACTCTTATTTTTTCATGGGTGAATCATTTTTAACCGATTCAAATTAATACTTTCTTAGATTTACGCGAATATTTGACGATTCAAATTAATTGTTTGATCTTAAATTAAAATTTGTAAATTAAAACTGTTTACATTTATCTGGTTTTGACATCTATCGGCGCTCTTGAGTGTTAGCGTGAATACGTCACGTGACCATGTCGATGACGACTTACATGAATTTACTATTACTCCCCATCCAAACCTGCCTATAGAAGTTTTCACTTCAAAAAACTACACTATTAATACGCTATAAAGGAAATATAAAAAAAGTTACATTTTAATTCTTATTTTGGTGTTGATTATATTATTCACGTAATAGCAATATTCTTTAAGTTCGCAAAATTAATTAAATCGTACTAAAATATTCTCTTCAATACTTGGAATTGTGAAGTTCAAAAGTTTAAGACTGTTTTATAGAAAAACGGGAAGTCTCTTTCGACTACCAAATTGCCGGATTTCAGCCTAAAGAAAACCCGGTCTTTGTGTAAGGTGGCCTAGAAAATACGTTGCTTTTTGCATCATTTTAAATGTAAAAAGAAATTTTTATATAATTACGACTGATAAAATATTATTACAGGTGGGTTTTGTATACTAGATTTTGTTACCGATTTTGTTTGTGTTGTAATTTTTTTAAATTACGTTCAATTAAATAAATGTATTATATAATTTTTATATGTGTATATTATAATAATATAAGTATGTGTGTACAGACCGTGCATAAAAAAATATGTTGGGACATTAACACACAGCACCATCTAGTTACATGGTAAGCTACGAAGCTTGTGTTATGGATACCAGATAGTTGATACACTACATATATATAACTTTAAATACGTACATATTATAAATATAAACATC